GGCGACTTCGATGTTAGGTTGAGCCCTCACAGAATTTGTTCTAATTCCCACTTAAACGCGGACGAGTCTTCGCCAGGTCGTAACATTCGTGATTCAAAATCAGCAAAGTAATTCTCCCGGCTGGCTTCTGGACACATTGCTTCTTTCAGTGTTTTTGACGCGTCTGCGTATGTTTTGCGGTCATCTTCTAGCATAGGCATAAAAATGACTCACTGCGCACCAAATTTGTGGCGAGCTGCCGAGATACAAGTTACCAGCAGAGCTACCTAACCAAGGGGCTGTTCACATGAGCTGTTAGGATGATAACACGACTACCAGAATCGTGTTATTTACTCATTTCAATACCTTAAAGTCCATTTTACGCTTCGTTAAATCTCGGTAACCGGGCAGATATGAACAGCCCCCAAGTCTGTGTTAATCCCAATGGTAGAACGGAACGATATTGGAGTGATGAATCATTAACTCTTAACAATAACCAATGAGATAACGCTTGGGTTGAACAGTGCGCAGACAAATCAAACTCGACAGAATTTGTGAATCGAACAAGCAAAAATATTATAAACTTTAATCCGAAAGTTCGTGAAGTTGATACACGAGAATTGATACAGAAGTGTAGCAATCGTTAATCGTGAAAATCGGTTCGAACTAAATAACATGACAATGCAAAAATATCTAGTACTTAATGGTAACACAATAACTAATTGTTCACGCAGTATCATAAAACCATGCGATTATATGAATAACAAGTAAATCTATCGAATACACTATGAATTAAGTCTAAAGTCTGTACACGATAAATCCTTTGACCAGTTCGGAATAACAAAATAGAACGGACGCTACGAGTAACCTGACTAACAATCAAATTGTACTGGTATTAAAGAAAGATCAATCTGCACTTACTACGCATGCAGGCGGGCGGCATGTCAGACACGCGTCAAACCGGCGCTCCAATGCATTAGTAGATGCAATATGGTATCGCACGCGAACACCATTTGACCCGCTCAATCCAACCAATTAGACTCCTTTTCCATTTGGCGCGAAAAAACAACCAATAGCATTTCAGAGGGTCATGCATAAGCACCATGCACAAGCTCAATCGCTCTGCTCAGTCTGCAAAACAAGAAAAAAACAATTTTGCAAGACACAGTTTGCAAAATTTAAAGGTATTATTTGCGTCAAATCGAAACATTTCTGCTGCTTTAGTAATCGAATAAATAAAAATACAAGTTCGGGCTTGGAAGAAAGCGCCTGATTGTCACGTTCAAGCTCATAGACTCAGCATTAAGTTATTGTAATCATAGATCAGTCGAATCGTATACTGTCCTACTAGCGTGTGCGGTTGGTCAGGTTGATGTCTTAGAAGCTAGCTACCTCTTTCATGGTATGTAGCGTGTGCGCATACATGACATCACATGTCGTTTACTACAAGTAAACGTTCGAACACCGCATATACCCACATCAACTCTCTGTCACCATTTGTTTCATTGACTCTCATCAGTAATCGCCTCTGTATGTGCCTAAAGTATATTTGTAAGAAAAACGCAATTTATGAAATAGAAAAACAAGAAACAAATTTACTTGTCTGACATTATAGTATTCACCAGCTTCTAATAATATCCTTAACTTCAAGCCATTATACTACCAATTTTTAACTCTCTACACCTCTCGCTTTCACCTGAAATACTATACCCGCATCATCTACATAATATTCATTTTACCTCTCAATACATAATTACCATATGAACTCTCAAACGCCTAATACCCACATCAACTCCCGAATACATCGTACCTACACCAACCCCAAAATACCTCATACATCAACTCTCGATAATCCCATACCTACAACTCTCTTTAACGTTCATCCCATATCCACGCACATCAACTCTCGTTTACTTTATACCCACATCAAATCCGACATCACTCCTAAAGACATCATATTCACACAAACTGTTGTTAACTCCATACTACATAGCAATCCCAATAGCTCATACCCACATCAACTTCCAAATAGCTCATACCCACATCAACTTCCAAATAGCTCATACCCACATCATCCGAACACCTCATACCCACGTCAACACTCGTTTACTCCACACCCACATCAACTCCGAAATACTTCAAGCCACATCAACTCTAGTTTACGTACTCCATTCCACATCAACTACAAAATTTCTTATGCCCACATCAAATCTTGTTTATATCAACTCTCTGTCACCATTTGTTTCATTGACTCTCGTCAGTAATCGCCTCTGTATAAGCCTAAACGTCTAGCTACTAATGGTCACACTAAAGGTAACTAGAGCCACCAGTTTCTTCATCCCAATCGTAGGACACATAAATTTTGACAATAGCTTTCGGCCACTTTTGAAAGACTAATGGAAACGGTACTTGCAAAGTTGCCGTGGCAAACGTGTTTGGTTTACCTTGATGATATCATTGTTCTTGGTAAGGATTTCAATCAGCAAGTGGTAAATCTGCGAGAGGTGTTTCAACGTCTAAGAAACGCTAACCTAAAGCTAAACCTAAAGTGTTTTCCTGTTCTTTTGTAGCTACACCATGATTCCTCACCATGCATCAGGGAAAACCTGTGCCTTGATTGCTTATCATCCTGAATGACACCGTGATGTAGCACCGCCCATACTGCTTTCATCATTTTTTTCTCACACTTCCATTTATTTGGTTGACACTTCATTGCGATTGACATTCGATCGAATAGCTTTTCCATGATATTCTTGAAGCATATCAATTGTCTTATCTGATAGCCTGTGTCCTTTGCCACCTGTTGCCTTGCCAACTGCTAACTTCCCCTTTGTCTTTAATTTTCGAAGCGCTGTTCCAAGGCGTTTTTGGACGTGTCCGATACAGTCAGGTTCAACCCTATTTGTACCGGGGTTTTTTGATGTTGATATGACCGGGGGTGCGCTAATAGAGCGCACCCCTCAGAAATTCTGTCGATTACCTGAAATTATCCTTTTATATAGTTATATTTTTTTAGGAAATTTTATCTCTCTTTAACCTAAAAATAACAAAAAAGTTGAATTCACATCCAAAATGCTGCGTTTTGGCCCCGTTCGATACGACCACTTATCGAAGAATGGCAAAAATCCCTAAATATTCTATGATTTTGGTTCTTTTCTTTGAAGAGACCATGATGGCCCTGCATTTGGATGTGATATTTTTTGTTTTTTTGGATTCAAAAGACATACCGGGTGTCCCAGAAAAAAGTACTCCGGTTTGATTAATAATAGCTTCTAAACTAGCTAAGCTATTAAACTGACATAAGTTTCACTAGATAGAGGGAAGACTAACTTAGATTTTGATATCTTACAGTTGTATTTTACTTTAAAATTTACGGAGATATCAATGTTCAAAATTGGTAGCATATTTCTGGATGTGTCTAAATTATATTGATTAACATTTGATACGGCGTTTTTTGCATAATTTAGACACCTCCAGAAATATGCTACCAATTTTGAACATTGATATCTCCGTAAATTTTAAAGTAAAATACAACTGTAATATATCAAAATCTAAGTTAGTCTTCCCTCTATCTAGTGAAAGTTATTTCAGTTTAATAGCTAGTTTAGAAGCTATTATGAATCAAACCCGAGTACTTTTTTCTGGGACACCCAGTAGTTTAATGTTATGGCATACCTCTGATGTCCATAAATACTACTATTTTTCTTTGGAAACTTGGCATTTCTGCACCATATGTTCCTGACATGTAGGATTACCACACGACTAGCAGAGCGATTTCACACACTTTATGGACAGTTTCTTTTTAGAATATCCCTTTCCATCTGCTGCTCTCTAACATAGGGTGCACCTCCTCCTACTCTCTCCAATGCAGGGCCATCATCTGCGTTAGGTTGATCGTTTTGTCCGTTGTCACCGATTATTAGTGCAATCTTTTGTTTGACAACCATGGGCAAACAATGTTGGCTTTGCATTGGAATATACGGTTTTACCAATTGCATTACCAACTCAAACCCATACTCAAAAGACTTTTGTTTGAGAGGATCAACCTTCTTATTCAAGGCATAAATAGCGGATGAATTCACATAAGCTGTATCAATCATGTATGCTAATGCGACCATGGCCCATCTTCGTGACTTGGTTTTGCTTGTGTGAAATGCCATTCGTTGATCAACAATGTCAGTACCATCTTTGGCGAAATCATAGAGCTTGTACAATGCCAACTTATTACGGCTGTCGTCTTTTGTTGTACCAAGGATTTGCTTCAGTGTTGATAAAATCAGCACATTCTTCTTCCCGGTTGTTGTTTCGACAACGTATGATTATAAGGTTAGTGGACCATCTTTCTGCCAATATACTTCAGATGATAAGTTCACCCTGTGTTCTGATATGTGAAATGATATCTTTCATTTCAACTGGAACTCCTTTTCGATTCATTTGCATTGTGCCAAGGCAGTGCGCAGACAAATCGAACTCGACAGAATTTGTGAATAGAACAAGTAAAATATTATAGTTTCACGCGTTAGATAGCGTGGCGTCAAGGCATGTTAAGACTAAAGTTGTCTAGGTGTCTGCTTTATTCTCAATCATCTCACTTATTTAGATTCCGTCGATTTACGTATCATCATTACTTAATTAACATGTCCATCTATCCCATTCTACTTACAAGATTAGTCATTTGGACAAACATTAATTGATGACACCATAATATTTTATTGCACGTCACAAGTGAGTAATGATGAACAAGAAATTTTATCAGATGAGGAAAACAAAAGGGAACGACAAAGAGTTTCATTCAACAGAGTTCGTGGCGATGACAAGAGGCGACATCCATTGCAAAATACCAAGCCATGATACAATACTGATTTTTTTTTGTTTTCGTCACCGGACTAAAAGCTTTTTTGAATACTTTTGATTTCTCATTCAAATGAAAACATTTAAATTTACACATAAAATAGTTTTTGTTTCCGTTCACAATGAACGGGTTTCTATTTTGTATTTCGCTAATTTCTTCTCTTATTTAGGAAACTAATGGCAACCATTGCTGCGAGTTGATGAAGATTATTGGTCTTTTGGATTGCTTGCATTGTGGGCTAATCCAATTCTCAGAAATCGATCGTAGAAACCCCGACGTAAATCAGCTCAACCTGCGACTTAACAATAAATTGATGATTCCGGTGAATCAAATATTCCCAAATTTGCTTCCTAAATTCCCAATTGGTTGATGTACATTGAAATCCTCAGAAGTATGGCGACCTTCATTTATTCAAAGCCATTTACTTTCAAATACCCAATTACCATATGAACTCTCAAACATCTAATACCCACATCAACTCCCGAATACCCCGTACCTACACCAACCCCAAAATACCTTATACATCAACTCTCGATAATCCCATACCTACATCAACTCTCCTTAACGTTCATCCCATATCCACGCACATCAACTCTCGTTTACTGCATACCCACATCAACTCCGACATCAACTCCTAAAGACATCGTATACACACAAACTGTCGTTTACTCCATACTACATCAACTTCCAAATAGCTCATATACCCATATCTACTCTTGTTTACTCCATACCCCCATCAACTTCCAAATAGCTCATACCAAATCAACTTCCAAATAGCTCGTACCCGCATCAACGGTCGTTTACTACATTCCTGTATCAACTCCCAAACACCTCATACCCATGTCAACACACGTTTACTCCATACCCATGCACATCAATTCCTAAATACTTCAAGCCACATCAGCTCTAGTTTATACGTACACCATTCCACGTCAACTACAAAATTTCTCACACCCACGTCAAATCTTGTTTACTCTCAACCCACGTGAAGGTCCGAACACCGCATATACCCACATCAACTCTCTGTCACCATTTGTTTCATTGACTCTAATCAGTAATCGCCTCTCTATGTGCCTAGAGTATATTTGTAAGAAAAACGCAATTTATGAAATAGAAAAACAAGAAACAAATTTACCTGTCTGACATTATAGTATCCACTAGCTTTTAATAATATCCTTAACTTCAAGCCATTCTACTACCAATTTTCAACTCTCTACACCTCTTCGCTTTCACCTGAAATACTACCCGCCATACCCAATTCCCATATGAACTCTCAAACACCTCATACCCACATCAACTCCCGACTACCTCGTACCTACACCAACCCTAAAATACCTTATACATCAACTCTCGTTAATCCCATACCTACATCAACTCTCCTTAACGTTCATCCCATATCCACGCACATCAACTCTCGTTTACTGCATACCCACATCAACTCCTAAAGACATCATGTTCACACAAACTGTCGTTTACACCATACCCCCATCAACTTCCAAATAGCTCATACCCACATCATACCCATTCACATCAACTCCGAAATACTTTTAGCCACATCAACTCTAGTTTACGTACACCATTTCACATCAACTACAAAATTTCTTATACTCACATCAAATCCTTTTTTCTCTATACCCACGTAAACGTTCGAACACTGCATATACCCACCATACTTCTTTCAGTAGGGTTATGACTTCAGAAATCTTTCATTGGTCGGGGAATGTGCTTGTCACTAGAGGGCAATTTATTATATGCGTATAAGAGGACCGAGTATAATTGGGATCTTTAATCACATGCGTGCCGATTTTATTTGGTCCTGGGGACTTATTACTTGGCATGGCCATGATAATTCGTTTAACCTCTGTACAAGTAACGGATTTCAAAATTGAACTGTTGATCAGATGGATAAGTGATTACGATAAACAGAGGATCTGATAGTACAACATTGTTGTCTGTGGCTAAATTTATGGCTGTCTCAGAAGCGTTCCGACCCACAGAAGGAAAAAAAGGTTGAACTCTTTTGCAATTGTTTTTCAGTCTTTAGTCTAAACTTGCGTTTCCTTTTTTTTTGGGGGGGGGAATTAAGTAATCGATTTTTTTTCTATAGAGATCTCGATGCTCTCTTACTTCGTTAAATGTGTGATCCTTCGCTGTAGCTTTAATTTAGTTTTTACGCTATTCTTTGTAAACTACCCAATCACCTTCATCACGTGTCAATTGAAACCGACGGAGGTGTAGGTCCCGAGACTTCATGAGTTCTTTTATTTCATTGGTGACATATGGGCATGATCTATTTTAACTGTAGTAGGACGTACACTGGTAAGTGATCACTCTCAAGAACCAGTGGTGTGAATGAAACTGTAGACTAAAATCACTAAGCGTTTGGGAAGTCGAAGAGATTCTAGTTGGAGTTTTAATGATCTGTGTAACATTTAACTTTGTAGAAAAATTTGCTCTAGCACCCCTAGCATTAATTCTAATCCCTTAGTTCTAACACATCATCCATTCAATTTTGCTGTTAGGGATGTCTTCCTTAGGAATTTTCATATCCTGCAGAATGATTCTGAGACATCTTCCATTTTCACCGATAACCCCCTAGTCTCTTTTCGGCACAACAAAAATATCCGGGACACAATTGGTTCACAGCTCTCTACAGCAAAACTGTTCAGAGCCCAATGGCACATCGCCTTCTGGCATTGGCCAATGTAAAACATGCTCTTTTACCGATTCTGGCACTTTTATTTCGGCTGCCAATTCACAGTTTTTCACACCATTTCACATGCCTCTCCTCCAACCTCATTGCATCTCATGCAACAAATGTGGTTTACTATATATCGGCGAAACTGGAAGATCTCTAAGGGTAAGGTTTGGTGAACACCGTAGGTCGGTTAACAACCACGATAACACCAAGCCACACACCACCATACCACCACATTTGATGCTAAGTTGTTTGATGAAGACACAGCACACGCTGCTCTCTGGTTATATTGGAACGTATCTGCATGGTGTTCAGTAAACCAACCATTGGCTTTAAATTTCTAGCAAGATATTTAGCTAAATTATAAGTCGGTGTACCTGGTTTATGTATTTTAGGTAAACCATAAAATTTAGGACACACACTACATGAAAGTCTAATCTTTAACTTTGTTGTGAAAGCCGGTCAAGTCGTTTAAATGATTTATCAAAATACTTACGTGGTGTAACTACAAGCTAATGTACTTATTGATGTCACCATGCAAACTTACATGAATATTATTACAGAACTCTATGGAGAGTATTTTAATAAATCATTTAAACGACTTGACCGGCTCTCACAACAGCGTTCAAGATTAATCAACAACTTAACCTTCTTGGAAAAGGGGTCGAGACGACGAAGTTTTTTCGAAAGGTTTGTGCATGGTTAATTTTTTCCACACTTAGCATGCAAGTAAAATCTTGAAGAAAGAAGAGCTGGCACTGTTGCGAGAAAGAATTGCTTTGACGCGTAAACAACTAAGCAGAGTGGATGACAACATCGCCACTCTTACATAAGAGCTTTGGCTATCATTTGAAAAAGAGCATTTTGCTGTTGCAAAAAGAATGATAGATGCTTCTTTTACGCGTATCTTTAACAAAGCACGCTGAATACAGATCGCCAAATACACAAGATTCACGTCTAGAAGATCAAAAGATAAAAGAAGACAAGAAGATTTGTCTAATGGCACTCTAAGACGCACTGTTGGTTTATATGAAAATTTAGTATATATGAGTAGACTTGGTAGTTAAATTATTTACCACAATAAAATTCATTTCGGAATAATTAATACAAGTACTTTATTGTATACTTTAATAGTATATAAGGATAAACTTGCTGTTTCTGCTGTAAGTTTGTAACTATCTGCCAGAAATTACTTAGAAGGACCGGAAGCAATCAAGGGCAGACGGGGGTACTAAAACAGGTAAGGCACTTTAGTTTACTAAGTCTGTAGACAGTCTTAACTTGGTTCATACATCCAATGTCTATGAGCATGCGTATATAGGGTAGGCTCCATATTGCCCCCCCCCCCGCCCTTGATGTTACTTGTTGTGCAATGTTACTCAGAAAGTGATTAATTTGGAAGTACTGTGTTAAATTTAATTAGAAACGTCTAAACCCTTTGTTGAGATAACATTGGTATTTTGTCAGCAAACTCGGCTCAATCGAGGAAAATCGGCAACAGGACGCATTAAAATGTGTCTCTAAGAGTCTCTGAGGGAATTTCTTTAATATTTATTGATAATATATTCTACAGAAAAGGTTAAGTTTAACTATATAGGTAAAAGGTATAAAGATGTATGCATTCCAATCATTTTCTTAGTTTATACGATAAATGAAGTTAAATTCAAAGGGTGGATCCCCGTAAGACTTTGTCTACTACACTGTTTTTTAAATTTACTGTTCATTATGTCTCATGCTTCTCCAGATGCTTAACTGATTAGGCAGTCACTCGTACAGTATCTTTTATGAACTTAATAACTAACATTAACTAGATATATTTGATTAAAATTAATTTGATTATAATTATGGAATGTTGCTGGCTATTCAAACCGGAGAGTCTTAACATTCCAAAATGATTTCAAAGTGAGTAAGATACCAAACCCTCTAACACTTCTACTTAGCCCTTGGGAAATTCCTTAGCCCCTCATTATTTTTCAATAAAAGGCCCCTTTTCCTAAACAAATGTCTTTTTGCCCTTTTTCAAAGGCTAAATTTTGATCTGATTGCAAAGTGTGTTAATTGTGGTTTGCAAGGTGTGGGTTCTATTAAAAATTTTAGGACCAACTTGCCTCATATAACCCGAGAGCTGTCTTATAATGGAGTAGGCAACTCAGTTTATTATGCCAGCACGCATTTTTCGCGGATCGCAGATCACCGTAGTATACAAATTTACATTATGACTATACGTCAAGATTTAAAAGCAAATGAATATATTGAAGTGAAAATGTCAATGAAATATAAAAAGTAAACTCTGATATCCAAACTGCTAATAGTCTGGAAAGCTCAATATATTACCATAGCCCGAGGGACTGTACTCACACTACAGCGTCTTGGTATTATAAGATTCATACGTGTTTTCTCTGTCTCTCGCTTTACTTAGGTCAGCATAATTTGAGTAACCATCGTTTGTTGCACTACTTGCTGACCCATAATAATTCTGCGCCACATTTTTGAGATCAACAACTTCGTACAGTGGATCTTGATTTGGATCTTGATTTGGATCTTGAACATCTGGACCTGGTTCCGCCGACCCTTTTCTTAGCCATCGCCGTCGGAAATAAAGCACAGCACATACAACAAAGATTCCAACAAGAATTCCAGCCACAAACATAATGAAAAACATATACAATTCAGTCTTATTATCACCCTCTTTGGAGTATAAGTTTTCTAAAAATGAAATGAAAAACGTAATGAACATTAATTACGTCATGCTGAGTGCATGTGTGGGTATGAATCTAAGCTCTTGGTTTCGGTTAGTAATTGGAAATTGAATTTCACCAGTGTTAATTGTTTGCTCCTGCCTTCCTGGCAAGGTTAAGAAATGAAACTAAATATAACATGATTACCATAAAAAATGACTTGAATTGAGTTCTTAGTGCTGAAAGTGAAGCTTTTCAACTCGCATACGTATGTTCCCCTATCAGTTCTGTCAACATTACGCAAAGCCAGAACATTTTTTTCCTTCTTTGTGTCACCAATCTGGACGTTGTTTTTATACCAAGTCACATCAGCTGGTGGGTATCCGTTTTTTCCCTCACAAAGACATGTTACGTCGTCACCCACAATTACTGTTATTGCACTCGAGCAATTGATTGCTATATTTGGTTTTTCTAAAATATACAGAACTCAAAAATAATAATATTGATGCCTAAGTAGCCTCTGTAACTGTGTTTTTCGAACGTCGAAGAATGTATACGTTTTTTATTTATTTTTTTATGTATCTTTTGTTTGTCGTTTTGCAAAGACATAACTGCATTCGATACACTATTTCTTTTAAAAGGGAAAGCCTAAATTTGAGAGTATAAATTTGATTCTCGATATAACAACAGTTACTTGGAAGATCCACATAGACAGGACGCGATTTCGCAACGCAGCACGATTTTTCATAGTTTTTTTCTTCAAATAGCACAAAAAACTTCATACACTGAATGTCGAATTGTTTGCGATCGGCAAAGTTAATAAAATAATTAAATTAAACTAAATATGCTTACCGAGACAAATTACTTCAATTGTGGTTTTATCTTTGAAACCGTTACTTTGCCCTACACATACGTACGTGCCATTATCAGTTCTATCAACATTACTGAGTGCCAGAACATTTCCTTCCTTTTTTGTGTCACTAATCTGGACATCCTTTTTATACCATGTCACATTAGCTGGCGGGTATCCACCTTTCCCCTCACAAAGACACCTTACGTCATCACCAATGTTTACCGTGATCGTATTCGAACAATTGACTGTTACATTTGGTTTCTCTGAAAAATTTAAGTACATGTATTTTGTAAAAATCTCATGTGAACAGCCCTCAAGGGCTCATGTGAACAGCCCTTTAGGTACATGTAGTTAATATTCGCGAAACGACAGTTGAAATTACTACAGGTAGATCGAGAATCTAATAACTAAACTAGAGGCAAATTGTCCATCGGCTACATCAATGCCATATCGGAGAGCATTTTTTTACACGTGACTATTATATGAATTATAACTATATTCACCGTGAAAAATGAGGTCAACTGACTTTTCATCAGCGAGAGTGTAGCTTTTACCAACACATTTGTATGTTCCTCCATCTGCTTCATTTACATTACTGAGGAGCAATAAAGTTTCCTCTTTCTTCATGTCACCAATTTGGACGCCATCTTTATACCACGTTACATCGGCCGGAGGTTTTCCATGTTTTCCCTCACATAGGCATGTTATATCATCACCAAGATGTACTGTGATTAAACTGGAACAATTGACTTTTACATTCGGTTTTTCTGAAGTGTAATGCAATAAATAACATTCTAAGACTATGTGCACACGGTAATGTTTTCGAGCGTTTTCTCATTCGTTTTCATGCCAAAATGGTTTTAAACACCGTCGATTTACAAAAGAAGTTGAAGCTAATTTAACATATTAAGCATTTTCTTCCTTGGATATGCGATCGTGTGAAAAGGGCGTCTAAACAATAAAATAAATAAAAGCGATTTTGAAAATGCTCGAAAACGATGCTCGTGTGCACATAATTTATTACCCTTAGAATGCCAGAGATATTACTTATGTAAGATTGTTATATCTGTGGATCCTGGTTGGAAAATATGTTCCAGTCTGCGTGTTCACAACGATATTATTATCATCTTTGTGTGCACGCTTTGCGCAATTTTTAATATTTACCGTTCAAAATCAGCTGAACAAACTTTTCATTCGTGACAGTAAAGTTTTTGCCTACACATTTGTATATCCCATTATCTGTTTCATCGAAATTACTGAAAGTCAACACGTTCCGTTCCTTTTTGTTGTAACCAATCTGGACACCATCTTTATACCATGTCACATTAGCCGCAGGTCTACCACCTTTTCCTTCACATAGACACGTGACGTCATCCCCAAGATTTACAATCATCAAACTGGAGCAATTTACTGTTACATTGGGTTTCTCTGAAATATGATGCATATAATATTACTTTCAAGGTGACCTCTTTTTAACCAGAAAAAAATACCCTGTCAAAACGATATAGGTTATTTTTTGTTAGTAGAGGTTGTAATATTAATAATTCAGACAATTACACATATATGTACTGTAGGGCATAAAAAGGTTTATGATAATAATCTTGATCATAATGGTCCCAGGAATTATTAATCAGTCACGTTGGGCCTAACCCTTTTTAAAACGCTTATCTAATAATGTCTCATCCTCAGGCCTTTTTGAGCACTGCAGGTTCCCGTTATCCTGCCCCCATTTTTGCTCTGCCCTCCTTTTGCCGACCGAGTTTAAATTGTTATTTAAAAAAGGAATCGATTTTTATCGTTGTTTACTTTTACTTATAACGTAGAGTTTTCTTTTCATTGATTAAAAATTATGATAATCGAATCTTAAAAGTGTATTTTAGGCAGCTGAAAGTTAAGCCAGTTATATTCAAATAATTGATTGGAAGGTGTGCTTTAAGGTATACTTGCTCAAGCTCATATGTAATCTGCATGAATAATTTAAAGAGTAAAAAAGGCGCTGCGGCGTTTACTGAATGTCTGGATCACGTTTTCGAAAATGAACACTAAACTAAATATTACCTGCCTATAACCTTGGCCTAATTTAACGCCGTAATCCGAAAGGCGGGAAACGAAACCTTCCACTACAAAAAATATGATTTATTCTGTTTTCAAAATCTCTAGGGATGCACACTTAAGTGATCCCTAAGCGATTCTGAATATTTTTTTCTCTAAAATATACACAAAGAAGGCGAGAATTAAACTAAAAGCAGTTTTTTAATTAGGGTCCTACCCCCGAACAAACAAAAAGGATCGATTTCTTATTCTATTGTTTCATTGTTCGATTGTATTGTTCTCTAAAAATTATGAAGATAGAATTATGCGAAAACTAAAACTAGAAATACATTGCATGCAAAGTCCCCTCGCCTGAAGCAATAAACGTATATTTCCATCACTGAAATTCTATAATACTCGTCTCTGCTGAATGATCGAAGCCGTATAAGTAAAATCCTATATCAAGTACAATTATAATGTCGACTCTCGAGCTATCAAATTCAACTATAATCGTAATTCATTAATTGTGCTACGAATAGTTTTAAATACTACAATTTTTAGCGAAATTTCGATTCCTTTTTAAACAGATTGACCTTTAAAAATAAATGCTTTCCCAATCAAAATCATTTTAACGAAATTGACGAATAAATTCAAGGTGGTGTCGTACGTTTGTTGATAAATCTACAAGTTAAACTTACGAAATACTTGCATGCTTTAAGATACAAAATCTACCTGTTTTCCTGCTCAAAAACACTCCAAAAATGCTTTAAAATCGTAGATTTTTCACCACCTATTTCAATCAAAGTTTTTCTACCCGAAAGCATAATCTGCTTTACATTTTAATCATTTTTACGAGTGAATTTTTCCGTATATTTTCAAAACCATCCAAATGAAAAATATTTTTAAAAAAGTTTTATAATTCAAAATATCAGTTATGCTGACGCGAACCAAAATTTTAATTTAGCCAATCGCACGCTTGCAAACGTTTGCTGGTTACCAGTTTTAACTCGTCTTAAACTCACGCATGCGCATAACTTACAAAAACGCCCAACGTCCATGACATAATGGCGGACAACTTTCATTTCGCATTTGCATTCTCGGGCGTAATCAAAATCTCCGGGCGGAATTAGTACCCTCGCCCGGTGCTTCGCACCGGCTCGGGGATTAAAATTTAAAAACTAAACTAGAACTAAAATTCTCATTCCCATTACTTTCGTGCACGATAACTGAAAAAATAATCTCCCGTCGGTGCGAGGGTAATAATTCCGACAGGAGATTAGAAATTACATCCGGTTATTGTGGCAGAACATAACGGAATCCAAAGCTGTCAAAATTCTATGCCATGGACGTTGGATGGTTTTGTTACTTATGCGCATGCGCGAAATTTAAATGAGTGTAAACCGTTCATCCGCAACTTTCTGAATGGCATTTGACAATTGCATTTCAGTAAAACTTCAGCAATTTAACTGTAAACTCGCAAACTTTTTTACAAAACTGTTTTTGAAAATTACACCAAATAAAATGGGGAAAATAATAACGTTATATTCTGCGAAACGTTTAATAGTAAAAAAGGTTTTTTTATTCGAGGTTGAGCTGAATGAGCTCCGAGACAAAATATTTAAAACGTAAAAGTTATCGTGTCTAAAAAATTCTTCTATTTTCTACCATCGGGTGTGTCTGGTCTACTAGTAATATGGCATGAACAGATTTTTATATATTTTCAAGATTAACTGAAAAAAAATTGTAGTGGACCACCTTAAATAACCAGATACGCTACGTTTGGAGAGACTGCTGTTAAGAAAGTAAAGACCCGTTTACACTACACTCAATTTATCGGCACGGCTAAAATTGGTACCCGTACCCAATTTTGTTAGTGTTCAGGCTACCAAAACAAAGGCCGAGCACAGATGAAATGGGTACGGGTATCTATTTTAGCCGCGCCGTGCCAATAAATCGAGTGTAGTGTAAACGGGGCTTTGGAATAACTAGCCTACTTAAAGAGGTAGCCCAAGCAGGGATAAAAATGGTACGGGTGCCAGTGTTATCCTCACCGTACAAAATATCGCGCGTAGTGTAAACGGGGCTTAAACTGCTTGTGAAGGAGTCAGTCCCATTGTTGACATTTATCAATCTATTTTTTCTATTTGAATAGTGTAGAGAAGTTTTAACTATTTAAAAACGTAATTTTTTTAAAAAAACTGTTACTAATTCGTGTGCCGACTTCCGATTTGCGTCTTCAAGTACACCCTGCCCGCCTAATTGAGCAAAATATTCTTGTACTGAACTTTAAGACAATTTCATGGTCATGTAGCATTCCATATTTAGGTAATCATTTATGAAGCCCACTATTGAGCTTTACTAGAGGGATTTCTCCTTATTATATTAATAAAAGCATTATTCTCAAGATTGAAATACCAATAAAGATTAATCTGATAACTTTTACCTGCCAAAATGCATTCAACTCCAGCATCTTCCGAATGTCCGCAATTATGAATACCCCAACCTCCATGATTACAACTTACTATAGTCTGTTCTGTTCCGGTGCATTCGACGTCATCTAACCATATCTGTCCAGAACCAGGATGAACCATGGGCACTTGAAGGGTTCTGGCGGCATCCGGATGACCAAGTTGACGACAAACAACCCGAGCATCCCTGATATCCCAGCGGTCATCACAGATGGTTCCCCAAATTCCATTGTAGAATACCTCAATACGACCTGTACCATTTCCAGTTGAAGGCCCTCGTAATCTAAGTGACACTGTAATTACTGGAAAAAAAAGTGAGCATAGACGATTAAATATGTTCCTGAATGACACCATAACTATGGCTAAGAACTGGTCGCGGAAATAACAAATAGAATTTTTTTCAAACTGGTAGCTAGATATTCGTTTCGTTATTTTTTACTTATTTGTATAGTTATGAATGCAGCTCTTTTACTTTACCGGGATTTCGTTTAAAATTTTAAAATCTGAAGTAACATTACATATAAATGGATGAATGCGTACGATTCGTACGATTAGGGTGAAAGATTGATGGAACATGACATTTTATTGCACTTCAAATGCAGAGGAAAAAAATGTACTAGAAAAGCAATAATGTTTCATTTGTTTGGGTTTTACGGGCATTTGATTTTGTATATAGTCGTGTATTCGGTCTGGTATTCCATAGCATTTTTCGCCAAAACTGGCAAAAAGATACCTAAAATTAGCCCAGTAAAGAAGGCAGTTTCACACACCTTTCTCTTTATCTAATATTAGCTATGTTTTTTTGGGTATTTCAATAAATAATTCCAATTCTAAATTTTGTTGATGTTCATGTTTCTAAACCCGTTATGATATATTAAACGAACGAATATGTCGTACAATATCTCGCCTGGCTTTTATACAAAACTCTTTTCGCGTCTCGGATTTAAAACAACTTTCCGTGGCAGGCCCAGCCAATATTTAATTTTAAACTGAAAAGAGAAATGCAAATGCTTTCGCTGCACAAAACATTGCCCCCCAAAACGTTTAACGACCGGTCATGTAGGTAGTAACGCGATTTTGTGAGCTGTTGAGGGAAAAGATTTTCCATTTAAAGTGTCAAACGATACAAGTAACCGCGAAGAAGAGCAACATGCTTTTCGACGCTTTTCGCCGTCCTTGTTTTTACAGCGCCGAAGGCAGCTCGGTATGGATTTTTAATCGACAAGGCCCGATTTTGCTCTGATTCGCTAAAATTTTCGATTCAGATCACCTGGATATGTATTAAGGTCTGTTCACACGATCCAACATTGTTGGATCCAATTCACTTCTGACGTATGGGATGTCGTGAATTATCGATAATCCAGTACTGAATTGGCTTCAGGGGATTTGTCGCCCATATTTATTGCAAGTCAACAAACTATTAAACATTTATCAGTGTGAACAGACCCTTACAGTTCAATTTCTTTGTAATTTTGTTCAATGGAATTTAGATATTCTTTTCGAAGATTGGATAATATCCCGGATGTGAAGATGTCTTGAATTTCAGAAAAGTGTTTTGAATCTAACTCCTATATTTGGAAATATTTTGAAAAAAAATAAACAAATTGCCGCCACAATGATCGTTTCACGTGTGACGAATATCGTACGTCCAATCAAAAGCTGCTTATGGCATTTTTTCACGTGTAAAAAAATCGAATGCCCAATCAAATCGCATGAAGTTAATTTACCCGGTGAAGAACGATTTTTACCTCTAAATACATAATATAATAATTTATTTTTTTAAAAATCTTTGGTCCTTTCTTCCGCATTACATTAATGGTACGTTAGAAGTAACCTGACCTGTTGTGGAACATTCTACTCCAACATCATTAGAATGAGAGCAAGAATGAAATCCCCAAGGATCTCGGGAACAACTCGTCACATTTTGCTCCTTTCCAGTACAAGAAACGGAAGATAACCATATCTGTCCAAAACCAGATAAAAACTCGGTCGCTCGAAGATTCCTAACAACATCTGGATAACCAAGCTGACGACATACAACCCTAGCATCTCTGAATCCCCATGAATAATCACAGATTGTTCCCCACTGTTTATTGTAAAATACTTCAACACGACCGGCACCCTTTCCACTCAATGGTCCTTGTAACCTGAGCGACACAGGCGCGACTGTAAAATCTAAAAAGAATCCCAAAGAACATATAATTACATACATGGTGTACATAGGCTGCAAATTCCATAATTTGTATGCACGAGATCATACATTGGAACTTTAATGCATGCGCATTTAATTTAGCTTCTAAGATTTGAAAATATATTTCTTAAGGGTTCAAAAAAAGCACACAAAATGAATTCAACTGATGAGTTCCATTACGAATGGCCCAGTTAAGAACAGAACTAAGAGAATTTCTTCTTCAGTTATTCAATGTATATATGTATACGAGCAAACTCAATATGATGCGCCAGGTCATTATTATGCAAGTGCTAGCCCTTTGCCGTTTATATATACGCATGACTGATAAGGGATGGTAGTATAACGGGTTTGGCGACAGGGGATTTTTGGTTTATCCCTTAACTGAATTATTATGATGGAAGTTGGAATGCACAGTTGGCCGCGAATAGAGAGTGCTAGATAAATAACTGCGAATACATAACACTCTTGCGCCATCCTGCTGCAAAAAGTCCCAACCTTAACAAATTGGTCACGAAACGAGTGCCGGGTCATTGAAGAGTGACTGCGAGGACAACAATCGTGCGCCATTGTTTTTTGAAATAAATTGGAATGCGCAATTGGTCGCCAGACGAGAGTACTGGCGTCATTGAAAAGTGACTGCGAAGACAACACTCTTGCACTATTGCTGCAAATAACACTAACGTGTACTGCTGACTGTGAAGAAGAAACCTGAAATTCCGATCTTCAACCCAACATGTCTTTTGATAATTTGATTGCTTTGACCGATGTCGATGTGAGAAACACCAAAATGCTTCAAATGACGCGAGTTCAGTCGAAATAGCGTATTTTTGGTTGCACCTATGTAAATTTTTTGGCTGTTCCTACTTTTAGTTCGAAACACACTAATTAAGTTCGCTTCCTAAGATTTTGATAATCAATCAAGTATGATTGCTTTCGAAATTAATGTAAAGAATCATTGCTGTAAATTTATTGATTTCTACTCCGTTGCAAAGGTTTGAACGCGAGTACTGGCGCCTTAAGCTTATAAACAGTCTGCATTTGCTGATGTGAGAATGGCTGTTCATGTCGGAATCACTAAAATGCAAAAAATCATGGTAGTATCACAAAGTGTACATTTTTACTGCAAATAAAACAATTCGCCATTGGGCTGCCTATGAGTTAACTTCTTAAAACATAGTTAAAAACGGCGTTAGTGAACCTTGGAGGAGCGAGTAAACATTATTTTAGTTATAAGTACGGGATTTGATGCTATTAGCGACCTTAAGCAATAAATAAGCATACGCGTTTTAGCGATGACGATGACGCTAGATAAAAGACACCGGGGCCTGGCACTACATCGTCGCGTTATCGCTGCTAATTTGTTAAGCAAGTCAATGAGGACAACGTACAACGGAAGCTGATATAAAATAGCGTGCAAATTATTCGAGTTAACATGTATTTCAGGGAAATCCGAGAGCTCGCTACTTTGTGTTTTGGCTTAGGTTACATATCTGCAGCAGAATTTTGAGTGAATACAAATCCTGCAATCAAGATTTTCCATATGAAGAGTATGTGCCTTTCAAGCTTGACGATATGGATGAAAATGAATGCTTAGCAGAGTTTCGATTTGAAAAAGAGCATATTCCACTTCTAGCTGAAGCGTTGAGAATCCCAGCTTATTTCATTACGCAGCAAAGAAGTGGAGTGAGTGGCTTAGAAGGGTTGTGTATGTTGTTAAGGAGAGTGGCATATCCATGCCGTTACAGCGACATGATCCCTCGATTTGCTCGCCCATTTCCAGTATTGTGTATGATCACAAACCAGGTAATAAATAATTACCTTCATCAAACTCATGGCCATCGAATCACACAGTGGAATCATACTATTCTCCATCCTGAAGCACTTGAACAGTACGCTCAAGCAATTCATAATAAAGGTGCTCCGTTACCAAATTGCTTTGGTTTCGTTGATGGAACTGTCAGACCCATTTGTCGTTCGAGAAGGAATCAACGTGACGTTTTCAATGGACACAAACGTGTCCATGCTCTAAAATTCCAGTCCGTTGTAATTCCAAATGGGCTTATTGCGAACATGTATGGACCAGTAGGTAAGAGAATATTTATATTTGTTTGAATTAAAATGTTATTGCATTACTGAATTACCTATTTTTTTCACATTTATACAGAAGGGAAAAGGCATGATTCAGGAATGTTAGCAGAATCTGGTCTGCTGCAGCAATTGGAATTGAATGCGCACTCAACCAGTAACCAACCAATGTGTCTCTATGGGGACCCAGCTTACCCTCTTAGGGTTCATCTCCAAGCACCTAACCGCATTGCACATCCAACCGAACAGATGAGGCTCTTTAATACCCAGATGACTTCAACAAGAGTCGCTGTTGAATGGTTATTTGGAGATATAATAAATTATTTCAAATTTGTTGATTTCAAAAAGAACTTAAAGATTGGCCTTAGCAGTGTAGGTAGAATGTATGTGACATGTGCACTACTGCAAAATGCTCACACATTTTTGTATGGTAACCAAACATCTACTTTTTTTTGAGCTTAATCCACTCACACTTCAACAATACTTTGTTTGAATGTCAATATGAACATTTAATAACAATTTCTTTAAAACTATAAACAACAATGTCCAGTAAAAACCAAATGAGTTTTGGGAAATGCCCCTATTCCTTCTGGCTTCTTCATATTGTCAACAATAGATGAGAATATTATTTGAATAGTAAAAGTAAATTTTAGCATTGAAAAAGTAAAATAGCTAAGGAAATAAAGTAAGCAAGTGAACAATGTCATCCCCTCATCATTAAGTGTATCATTAATGGTTATTTCTGGACTTTGTTGGTTAGTTTATAAAACATAAGTGTCAATTAAAAATCAAATTTTAAGAAAAAACCCAACAGGTAAGTTATGATACGATTAAGTTTTTATCTTTCACACAAGTGTAACCTTATCATGTTTTCCTTTCTATCTGTTGCAAATATGTCAATGTTAGACAGTGTTCATAATGGTGTCTTTTATGTTTATAAGTTAAATCTATGACGTCATTACTATAGAACATACCCAATAGGAAGAAAGGAAGTAATTGTTATTATAATATAAGTATGATATAACGAGCAATTTGACTGGCTACCGCGCGTGCATTGTGAGGCCATAATGCACGCTTCTGGCTTTTGAAGTTTTTGTTGCTAAGCAACATCTTAAATAACATGTAAGGAGAATTTCATTATTGATCAAATAAATAAATTTTGTTGTTGCCCTATAATTTCTTCTTATATTACTCGGCTACGCCTCGTGTTTTACAGGCTTCTCTCGTATTCTCCCAACATTCCCCCATCGTGCATTATTACACCATAAAGGCACGCGACTCGTTTTTTAATTCTTAAATAATTGTTAATCAGTAATTAAATAGCGCATGAGATATATAGAGCATCGACACAGGTCGCTGAAGGAGCAACATCTATATACGAAGTCAGATTTATTACAGTTAAAGTTTTGATAACTAGAATTAAATAAAATTTTGGAGTATAAAGTCAACGTTGTGAATCACTTTTGGCGTCACGCGAACTGGCAAAGTAACCTGCACATGGTACGAGGTAACATCAACATTTGCTGTTGCTGTTGCTGTTGCATCATTAACATCATTTGCTGCTGTTGCTGTTCTTGTTGTCTGGCACTGTCTTGTTGCTGTTCTGCAAACAATTGCACAAGGGTTGTCTGGAGTTGGTTTTGCTGTTCAATTTGCTTATTTGTGGCTTCATTTCTTTGTTTCGTTGCTTCAAGTTCAGCTTTTCTCAATTCATATTCTTCCTTGGTCCTTTCCTTCAGAAATTCGACAGCCTCATTCCCACTTCTTCTTTTCTTACTGGCAACTTTTCCTGCAGCACTCCCACTCTTTCTCTTCATTGTTTCGCCCAAGGTTTCCATGGCCAAATTTCGGATCTCTTCAGCATTGTGCTTCTCTTCATCAACTTTCTTTTTTTTTTGAGAGGTTTATTGGTACTGTAGACTCCATCTTTTCCAAAATCTCTTCCAATAACTCTGACTTCTCATGCAATTCTGGGTCAATACCAGATGCATTTAATTCTTCCTGATTCTTCTTTTTAAACCACTTCAACAATGTATTAAGTTTATCCCTCAAATAACGCTGATTAACTCGCATTCAGTTTGTCTGCAATATCATCCCACACTTGGCCTCTTTCAACACTGCTCTTTCTCTACAGGAACAGGTCACTCACAAGTACTTCTTTAAGAAAGAGCATGTCATGCTCTTCAGACCAGGTTTTACTACAGAATATAACAGCAGGCGGCAATTGTGAAAGAAATCAAATAATATCATTAAGGTGAAAAATCAAAGACTTTTACTAAAGTACTACTATTACAGTCAGTACAGTATATTACAGTAAAGCACAACTATTTTCAACAAATAATGGTGAACAATCACATTTTGATTAATAATAAAGAAAATTTCACTCACCAAAATAAATATAGAATATAAATACCTTCCAGTGGTCGCCGAGTTTGTCTCCTGAGATGCCATGTGAAATTCAACGTCAAAAAATGTGATAATCTTGAAACTGATTCAGCGTTATCGCGATGACCAGAAATCATACCAAATCAAGTCGTCGTAGAGGCGACTACGACGCGAGCTCATAAAATAATATGCAAAGTCAGCAAAAAAACAGAGGCTTCACAACAACAACAACAACAACAACAACAACAACAACAACAACAACAACAACAACAACAACAACAACAACAACAACAACAACAACAACAACAACAACAACAACAACAACAGCAACAACAACAACAACAACTACAACAACAACTTCAACAACAACAATAATGATAATATTACTAAATTCTATAACGGAACAAGTTTCCGATGCGCAGTATTGATAACAATATTTGTACGAAACGGAAATGCTAAAAGCTGGAATTTCATCGCAAAATACACTTGATTTGACTCTAAGTGACTAGATGACACAAAAATAGTATTAACTATAGAAGGAAACAAACTTTCCTGAACTGTCAGGCAAGGGTTTACGGCTTTTTCCTAGCAAAACCGTCTTACTCCGCATTTCCAAAAATAGCTCCATAAGATGCGTTCTACTAACATTAAGAATGTCCATAGTTAATAAATTATGGAATGTCACAGCCGGCTAGGATTACCGACTCAAAACAAGTTATTTGTCTCCCTAAAATTTTTTTGGGCGTTTATATCAGATTTACGGAATCACAACAAAATAATTCTTTTGTTTTGCCCGTGTTTTTTTGCGTGTACAGACTGTGGGTGACTTAGCCTTTACATTCAGTTAGAAGGTGTATCACGTTCCAGTTATTTTCATTTTACTAGAAACTCAATGCGTTTAAAAAACCTCCGCTAAACATTGCTTCTGCAACACGTTTTCTTTAAATATTTTTGGCTTGCAGCATCTACCGGGTGTCCCAAAAAAAACTTTACCTCTTTGTCTTAATATAACTCAAAAACGAATAAAAGTCATTAAATTGAAAAAAACTCCACTGCATGCAAGCAGGGCTAACTTAGATTTTGATATATAACACTAAATTATTGATGCGATATTTACGGAGATACAAGCATTTGATGTCGCAAGGTACTTTCAAAATCTGTGCAAAATTGACAAAAATCGGCTATTAAATTAATTCGAAACTAATACTTTAACTTTTACGTTTTTAACTTTAGTGATTTTAACTTTAAATGTACGCTTTTCCATTGCAAACTTACTCTTATATAAGAGCGAACAATTAAAGTTAAAATCGCTGAAGTTAAAAACTTACCACGGGAAGTGGCATGCAAGTATTTTCGAATTAATTTAATAATCGATTTTTGTCAATTTTTCACGGATTTTGAAAGTACCTTGCGACATCAAATGCTTGTATCTCCGTAAATATCACATCAATAATTTAATGTTATATATCAAAATCTAAGTTAGCCCTGCTTGTATACAGTGGAGTTTATTTCAACTCAATAGCTTTTATCGTTTTTGAGTTATATTAAGACAAACAGGTAAAGTTTTTTTTGGGACACCCGGTAGTTTTAACCAAATTTTGTTGTGGTGTAGTATTTCCTATTTAAACATGAAAATTTGTGATAGCAGAAGCTTATCGAACATTAAAATTTCAATGCCGCCAAATTTTCCTACATTAAAAACGATTACCAATATCAATTTATCCGATAACTTCTACCTGTTGCTTTGCACTCCACTCCGGCATCTTCGGAATGTGCGCAATCATGAACACCCCAACCACGATGAGAACAACTTGCTATTTCTTTTTCTTTTCCAGTACAACTAACATCATCCAACCATATCTGTCCAGAACCAGGAAGAACATGGCTCGAGCTCCCTTGTTGAAAGTAGTTTAAAGCATCTGGATAACCAAGTTGTCGACATACAACCCTAGCATCTTTAATATCCCAGTAATCATCACAAATTGTTCCCCAAATTCCATTGTGAAACACTTCAACACGTCCAATACCATCTTTACTTAATGGTCCTTGTAACCTGAGTATCTTGGTTAAAGCTGTAATAAAGTGTGCAAGACTATTAAATGTGCGGTTTTAATGATATGCTTGATTGAGACACTGGTTATTCGAATATTGAAGAGCAATAATTTCCTAGCTAACTTAGCCAGCAGCCATGCAGGTCCTTTAGGTGCTTTAAAACGGTGCTTGGTTTTTTGGGTGCTTTTATTACTCTTACCTTTTGTACTACATTCAACTCCGGCGTCGCTATTATGTGAGCAATCATGAACACCCCATCCTCTATGAGAACATCTTGCAATACTTCCTTCTGCTCCAGTACAATTGACGTCATCTAACCATATCTGTCCTGAACCAGATTGAATCTGGCTTCCATGAAGGGCCCTACCATCTCGATAACCAAGTTGACGACATACAACCCTAGCATCTGTCGTATCCCATCCATCGCCACAGATAGTTCCCCAAGCTCCGTAATAGAAAACCTCAACACGACCAATAAGACTTGCACCTGATGCTCTTTGTACCCTGAGTGACACAGTTATAGCTACAAGAGTAAAGGTTTAAATACGTATGTAATTCAAAGGAAAATGATGTTAGTATACCGTAAAAGAAATCAATTTTCAAAGAAACTAACAATGAGTAATGAATATTTGCCCCCCTCCCCACTCAAATACCCGCAGTCACTCACCCTGACTGCATGAAAGTAATTCAGTCAAATACGTACGAAACAGTAATACTTTGCAAACTGGTAGGTATTGACATTTATTCAGGAGCGATTTACCGTCGTACCAGTGAAATACATCCTTGCATGTACACGGAACGTTAAAGACTGCTCGGTAGTATAATATTGTTTTTTAGTTATATAGATTGGGGTTATTTAGCGAGAACTAAAACCCTCGAAAAACTCATACGCCGCTACATCCGGGGGTACGGCGCATGCATGCATGCACGTATTTTCGGTATATCACGTTTTTTCAAGATTTTGCCCTATTTTCTTTGTTTTTGTTGTTGTTGTGAAAATACAAATGGTCTTTGGTTGGTATATAAAACAAAATTAACGCTTGAAATACGCAGAAAAACAATTAAAAGACATCTTTAGATAAGTAAAATTTATTCCATATTTATGTTTAGGCTATAATTTAAAAATATTCGCTTTTATACTGGTCTTTCGCAGTCTTTTGTGTGTATTTTTGTCACTCTGAATTTAGCCCATATGATAATCAGAACATTGCACGGCTGCGAGTAGATTTGGATTTTTATTAAATGGATGGGGGTATTTTACTGAGAACTCATACGCCACAACATTCAGGGTACAGTGCGGATATTTTCCGTATGTCACGTATATAAAACGAAATTAACGGTTGGAGGTACAAATTAAAACACTTAAAGGACATCTTTAGTTAAGTTATATTCATTCTACTTATTCTTAAATTTCAGGCTATAATTTAAACTATATTCGCTTTTATAATGGTCTTTCGCGTTACCATACTTGTTGTCTTTGTGTGTATTCTTGTCACTCTGATTCAGTTATAGCCTTGTTACACGGTGCAATTTTTCTTGCAACTTGCAATGCAATTCTACTTTTGACATTGCAAGTTGCAAGAAAATTGCGCCGTGTAACCTGGCCTTTAGCGCGTATAATAAATAGAACATTACACAGTTCGCTGGAAGATATGGCTCGTGTCAAAAGCAGTATCTAACGCGTTCGCAATACGGCAATTTTCCCCCCAAACTTGACAAGCAAAGTTATGTAATGAGCATTTATAATTGAATCGAATGACAATATTTTTATAAAATTTTTTTATTTAGTTATATTATAAAAGAAATAAAAACATTTTCCCGTGTTTCTGTATAGTTATGGAAACACTTATTATCCCGCTGATTATTTCTCGTTCGCCCAAACTCCTATACACGTGTTTTTATAACTGTATAGAAACACAGAAAATGTTTTCTATTTCTTAAATATATTTGCATGATGAGAATAATATAAAGACGTCGTTAAGAAAATTATGCAATAATGTTGGAGTTTTCAAGAGAACTTGAATAACATGGGATTAAATGGAAATATCCCTGATGTACGTATAATATTTAGAGAACAATCTTTGACAGAAACTGTTGAGAATCAATAACGATAAAAAAAGTTTGAGCTATTGAATCCAAGAAATCAAATGCTAAATGAAATTGGGATTTTTGGTCTCAAACGATTTTTATTACAACTTCTACCTGTAGTATTACATTCAACTCCAGCATCTTCGGAATGACTGCAATCATGAAGGCCCCAGCCATGATGAGAGCAATTTTCTATATTCCGTTCTGTTCCTGTACAAGCAACTTCATCCAGCCATATCCGTCCAGAACCAGACGGAACCTGGTTGCCTTGAAAGGCCCTACCACCTGGATAGCCAAGTTGACGACATACAACCCTTGCATCCATAGAATCCCATGCATCATCGCATATGGTTCCCCAAGCTCCATTGTAGAATACTTCAACGCGGCCAGTAACATTTTGACTCCTTGGCCCTTTTAATCTGAGTGACACCAGTGCTATAAAAAGTGGGCAGATGTGAATATATATGTAAATAAATTATATGATATCTAATTCTATATAAAACATTCGTGACTGAAATAACAAACAACAATTTTTAGCTGGTAGCTAGGCATTTATCTCATTCTAGTATTTACGCCTGCGATGGGTTCGAAAACAGTGCATGATTAGGCACAACGTAACAGTAACGTACAGCAACGTAGCGTGTTATTTTCTGGCTGCGAGGTCCGCATAGATATTTTTCTATTGAGAGCGACCAAAATGGTAAATAACGTATTTATTTTTTTACAAAAAGCAGCGTTCGGTCGCATTATCATTCAGTAGTCAGACAGAGCAATGGCGACAAAAACGTAAACAATCAAAACCTTATTTGTTTAATTTACTAAATTTCACTCAATTAATTCTATCGTGTCCATATATTTTAAAATATAAAAAGCAAAAATTTGCGATCGCGGTTGTCGTTCGCTTCGAACGAAATGTTATGAACAACTGTGAACGACAACACAATAATCATCCAAATCTCTTAAGAAATGTCTGTCACACCGAGTTAGCCGAGGGTAAACCTCCGTCCCACCACGGTTCAACCGCGATCAGACCGAGGTTTGATCAGGTTGACCGCGGTTCTTGTTAGGCAATTTTTGAACAGTACTGTATATAAGTCGACAATCTGGGGCGCGGGTTTAACGTTTCTCGTTTTTTTCCAATTTCCCCACCCTTGAAACAGGAAAGTCTTATACTCGTAACCGTAGACCGAAGCCAGCCTCTTATCTTTGTATTCAATAATTATTTACCTTGACATTGATGTGGCATAAAGTGATTTAGAAAAAAAAGCGCACCAGTTATGACGGCAAACCCCCTCATCTCTTGAATAAGTAAACTAAAACAATGAAAATATATTAGCTATATTATTGTGAATTTTGTAGAAATACAAGTTTATTGTTGTTACATTCACACAGGTTGGTAATTTAGCCGTTTCCCACTTGTCCAACATTTTGCGCGATAAGCGTAATTTTGTTATTTGGATAATACCTTAATTTAGGCTGGTTATAACTCCAGCAAAAAAATATCCCGGTTCTCCTGACGGAAAAGAAGTATTTAAATGTACAAAGTCTATTTGGAAATGGTAATGAATATATTTAATATTTATATCCTAATTGGAGTTCATTCACCTATGCGTTGACCAATGGGAGTTCTTTCACATACGCGTTGAGAGTGACCAATCACAGATTCTCAGAAAGCCACAAGCATTAATACGCGTACAGGCGTCAGGCAAGCTGGTTTTCTTTCCGACCCATTTCCCGTGTAGGCAAAAAATTAACAATTTCTCTGGACAAGTGCACTTACGAGTCAGGTTTATGCAGTGGAATTATTGTTAACCACAAAGCATGTCTTCATTCGTACAAACACAAAGTTCATTGGTTGTGAGTGGAATACCACAGTCACGTAATTATCGTAATTCCGAGGATCATTTAAATTCCGAGGATTAAAGGATTTATCCGATAAGGCCCGTCTCAGACGTCGAACTTTCATGTGGTGAATCGAATGCAAATGAACTTGAAGAGTTCAGTTGATTTGCATTAGGTTCGGCGCATGAAAGTTCGACGTCTTAGACAGGCCTAGGATTTCCTTTTTGCCGTACCTGCCGTTAAAAATGGATACGTTAGGCGTCCGGCCAGATATATATATATATACCGGGTGGCGCCAAAAAATGTTCCCCCTCTTAGACTTATCGTAATTAAAAAACTAATACAGATATCTTATTCAAATAAAGTTTGTTGAACGGTGTAATGTCTAACTTAAATTTTGATATATGTCTTGAACAATTCTGTACAATATTAGTCGAGATCGAGCCGTTTAAAATAAAGGTGCATTTTTTGACGAAGCGAATAACATGACTAAATATCGCGACTCAACTAAGTTATTTTCAACTTCCACGATAGGCGTTTTTTAAAGCGTTTTTTTCATGTATGTTGTCTTTGCATGTTTAAAGATTCTTAGATTAGGGTATTCGAAGTATCTTGTAAGTGTATTTGATGTTAAAATGATACTGTTCATCGTTCGAACAAGGAGTTGCAATGCACAAGGGAACGAAAGCAAAGGAGCTTGCCCGCTTTGTTATAAACATGCCTCGTTTAACGATACGGCAACGAGTTTGGATTTGTTTGGAATATGCGATGACTAACAATGCAAGAGAGGTTTTACGTCGATGGCAAAATCATTGGAATAATATTCCATCTCCAAGCATAAAAACAGTGAGGATTTGCCAGACGAAGCTATCAATATTTGTTCTTACTGTTGCGTGATGTTTTCATTCTATTTTAGAACATTTTTTGCTTCTCCCAGAAACGCTACCTTGAGTTTAAACTCCTATATCTTGCCTAATATTGTATAGAAATGCACAAGGTTTACATTAAAAATTTAAGTTAAACACCACTCCACTCAATAGACTTTACTTGAAAATGATATCTTTTTTAGTTTTTAAATTAAATTAAGTCAAAGAGGAGGAACATTTTTTTGCGCCACCCGGTATATATATATATATATATATATACACCCGTTTGCAAAAACGTTGGCCGCAGATAGATATATAGATAGATACCCGAAATCTAATTAGAATTGCATATGTTGTGTAATATGATTGAAATCCCATGCAAATGTATTCACATGCAATTCTAATTAGATTCGAGTATCTATCAATCTATCTATCTGCATGCGGCCAACGTTTTTGCAAATGGGTGTATATATATATATATATATTTATTGAATTTATCTTAAAATATTGTCGTCGCTACACGGTGTTTCACGCCTGACTCATTGATGATTGAACTCAATCCTGTATTTGTCGCCTGAAGATCGTCTGACTGTAAAAGGTCAGGCGTGAAACACCGTGTAGCGACGACAATATTTTAAGATAAATTCAATAAATGACTCGCTCTACTTGTAATTAGTATTGAGCACTCTTTTATCCATTACAAACAATTACATTTGGATATATATATATATATATATATATATATTATTTATATATATATATATATATATTATATATATATATATATATTAATATATATATATATATATATAACCAACAAGTATTCCCACACTGCTCGGTAGCAAAGACATATAGGAAACAATTGTAACTACCACGGCCAGAAGTAAAACTAAAAGATTTTATTAAAAATATACTAAGCTTAAATTTTCGGCCACATGCCGCAGCCTTCTTCAGAAATAGCGGCATGTGGCCGAAAATTTAAGCTTAGTATATTTTTAATAAAATCTTTTAGTTTTACTTCTGGCCGTGGTAGTTACAATTGTTTCCTATATATATATATATATATATATGTGTCTGAAATCATTGCTAATATTGGTAATTTTTTTGGTGTTTGGGGCATGTTAATACTTGCTGTCATGTTATTTTTCAAGGAAGCTTAGCAATTTAGGCTAGACTAGGATGCTGAATTAGGTTGGATTTCCACTTGCAGAAATGAGCTAGAGCAGTCAAGCTGAACTAGTTTATTTATTCTGTTAAAATTAAAAAAAATAAATTTATGTAAATATCTCGTTAGCCGAACTATTCCTCTATAAGTGGAAATCCATTCTTAAGCCTTGTTTTCATATGTCGCATTGATCACCGACAATAGATCGTATAGAATATCGCCGACGAATTAGGACATATGAAAACCAGGCTTTATCCTATCCAATTTATTTATTTGAATAAAGTTATATATATAACCATGAAAGGCACGGAATTCTCGTGTTTTATCTTGTGGAATGCGAAACGGTAGATTTTGAAATTAATACGCTTGTAACTTAGAACTTTACACAATCACCACATTGACAAAACTATAGCTCAAACCGAATAAATAACAGCTTTTTTAGACCGTCATACAGTGACCAATCAATGGAAATATAAATTACATGCAGCATTAGAGGGCATTCATGCAGCATTTGCTCAGAATAAAAGCTAGAACTGTGAAATCACTTTAAAACATGATTCTGTCATTCGATAGCTGTCCTAATAATATATAACATGTGCTAGCTTGTTTGCTTAGAACCGGCCTTAAAATCTTGCCATGTTTCATTAAATTTCGCGGAAAACCTCATAGAATAAAATATATCGCACTTAATTGAAATATATAGGGCGAATTTAAAATAAGTTTCGCAAAATAGAAAAATATATAAGTACATCATTCAAAATCGATAACAGACGCCATAATGTATTTGATATGTTATAGAACTAATACCACCCTGAGGTAAACTATTTCCTGATTTGTTGTCACATAATTGAATCGTCGCAAACATTTATATAATTAAATGCCATGCTGTATACTTACAATTCTTCTGCACCACGAAGCTATGTTTCAAACGATGTCCAACCCGTATAGCGATGTCAGTGATTACTTTGGTGAGTACAGTGTGTTATATGTAACACAGAATAAAGCGTCTTCTCCATATGCTTTCAATTTCAAAAGTGCTTATTAAATTTAAATATGGTTTAGAAATGCACTTCTTCTATTCTTATGATAATATGATCCTGCTGTTGTTATGAATTCCTTACATTTTTTTAGAAACGTAACAAACAGACGGAATTATTCAAAGGAAATTATTAAAAGGATAAAAATATACGGTGTAAAAATATATTCGATTCTCACCGCGGTCAAGTAGAATTTTCTGCTTGGCCGGTTGGTTATACTTGTGTAGAAGAACAAATACACCTAACATACATATCCACAAATGAACACATGGCTCAATTAAGAGTAAAAGTACAAATATATCAACATTTACAGAAGTAACTGCATAACGACATGTAAAGGACGAAACTCCGCATTGTCAATAACAACTTAAGTAAAATCACAGTCGTTCCCAACTTGGCCTTGTAGCTCAGACGGTAGAGCATCGTTCTAGAAATGCGAAGGTCGCGGGTTCGATTCCCACCAGGGGCGCCGGAATATCGATAATAACGCGGGCAGATATTCATATATTCGTGTTCGCAGATCGTAAAAACAATCGATTTCAAAAGAAGTTAATAATGCAGAACACGAATATATGAATATCTGCCCCCGTTATTATCGATATTCCGGCGCCCCTGATTCCCACCGCGGTCAAGTAGAATTTTCTGCTTGCTCGGTTGGTTATACTTGTGTAGAAGAACAAATACACCTTAAATACATATCCACAAGTGAACACATGGCTCAATTAAGAGTAAAAGTACAATATATATATATATATATATATATATATATATATATATATATATATATATATATATATATATATATATTTTGATATTAAGCACGTTTAGGCTTGTGCACTCTCGTTATAGTAAATTTTGTATGACAGCTCGCGACTGATTGTCCCGCTCATGCATGTGAATAACACGTGAATGCGTGTTAGTAATAATCCCACATTAGTAATATAATACAATGGCATCACATCTTCATTTCATGAATAAAATCTCTTTTATGTTTGTGTGTTGGTTTCCTTCCTCCTTTTAAACCAGCCATTGTCCAGTCCCAAGCCTGGAATGAGAAATTGGTGAGGGGAAGGAATATTATTGTATGTAGCTAAAGTGGAATTGATCATGGTAAGCAATAGTGATATGTTGTCCTGCTTGTAGCTCCTCATACTATCTCGGTAAATTTATATATATATATATATATATATATATATATATATATATATATATATATATATATATATATATATATATATATATATATATATATATGTATAGGTTATCACATGAGGGGCGAGGTGATATCAGTTTTATCGCTTGAGGGACGATATCATAAATGTCACGAGTGAGCGCAGCGAACGAGGGACATTTATGATATCGTCCTGAAAGCGATAAAACTGATATCACCTCGTCTCGATTGTGATAACCTGTTTATCACATACTTCTTTTTGATCTATAAAGCAATCGACATTGACTGAAACAAACCTCGAACTGCTCGAGTCAGCCATCTTTGTTTTGACAGCGGCAAATGCAGCGGGACAAAAAGCGATATCAGTGACAAAAAGCGATATCAGTGACAAAAAGCGATATCAGTGACGATATCGTTTTTATGTCACCCTGTTATCGCCCTGATAAAGGCACAAGTATGTGATAAATATATATATATATATATATATATATATATATATATATATTATATATATATATATATTATATATATATATATATATATATACAGTAGGAGGCAAAAGTTTGAGTCCAGTCGTTGTAGAATTCCAGTATTAAATCCTGGCAGCGTATTGGAGTTAAGACATGCGTGCTAGTGTTTCAGTACTGTAAACTATATTAATTGCACACTGTTTTGGTCCTAATGATCTAAATTATAACAAAATAAAGTTCTCATTCCTTTACACTGCCCAAGATGGGTAGGAAAAAGGGCAAAGTGATGGTGCACAAGGACAAATAGTTCCATTAAGTATCGAAGGATTCTTTCCTCGTAAGATCGCAGAAGAAGTGAGAATTTAAAAAGGTGGTATGCAACTAACCTTGGAGAGGTTCGAAGAAACTAAATCATACTCAAGCAAACTTTTAGCTGCTTTGGTCATGCTCGGTTTGGCAATATTGAAAGATATAATAGGATCCTAATTAAAGAAAAGTATCATCCAATTCTTCAAGGACATGGAATTTCATCTGGTACAAAGATGATCGCACGTCTAACTACATGATAATCACCCTAAGCACATGCACATCTTCTATGTGCCAGAAATCGTTTAGAAGCAAACTCATTCTGGTGATCTCGTTGTCATGGCTTTCCACCTCATATTCCAGATCTAAAACCTATGGAGCACTTGTAGAACCGTTTTAACCGGAAGAGGGCGAGGCACAGACCCGCCAGCCAGGCTGACTTGAGGCAAGTGGTCAACGAATGCTGGCAAGGTATTGAACGTGTGACATTAAAAAACCTATGGAATCTATGCGAGCAAGAATAAAGGTCATTTCAAGAGCAAAAAAGAGGGAACTAAGCAATGACATGTAAATGCATGTTTGCACATTAAAATACGTAAAAATGAATATCATAACATCTCATAGTTGTTGTACAGCATGTATTTTTCTGTTTACTTGTTTACTTTTTTCTAGTTCACTTATCGGTAAGGTTTTCTGTAGAATATTAATATATGCTGCTGAAACAAAGAAATACAGTCACTGGACTCAAACTTTTGCCTCCTACTGTATATATATATATATATATATATATATATATATATATATATATATATATATATATATTTATTTAATCTTAAAACAGTATTAGCTGCTACTTAAAGTTTCATGCTTCTTGCAATCATCAGGCAACTGTTCTTAGCTCTGAACTAAGAACAGTTGCCTGATGATTGCAAGAAGCATGAAACTTTAAGTAGCAGCTAATACTGTTTTAAGATTAAATACATAAATATCGCTCTACAAAAATTGTGTTGAGCACTCTTCAATCTACAACAGATAAAAAGCATTTGTTATATATATATATATATATATATATATATATATATATATATATATATATATATATATATATATATATATATATATATATATATATATATATATATATATATATATATATATATATATATATATTGCTTCGTACTTCGTTTCGCGACTCGAAGACCTCCGCTTCTTGTTTTGGTGGGATTTTCATTGAATACAATAGATTCCGAGCCATCGTCGTGTCTACGAATAGTGAAATCTTCCACATATGCGTCGTAGTGATCTTGACGTCCTCGCAAACCCATTTGTTCAGAAAGACACTTAAAATTCGCATTTGTTAGCGCGACTGGCGAGTGATCTCCGAGCGAACCGTTTTCCCACAACGTTTCTTTCTCGCTTTGGTTTAGTGCCTCAGCTTTGTTAGGACGCTTACCCATCCCTTGTTGACGGAGACTGGCTGCTTTGGCGTTTAATGTCTTAATGGACTGGTGAAATGGCTTCGAGGAAATTATACTTTCGCCGTAATTTTTGTCACGTAAGTAGCGATCAATTGCAGCTTGCATTACGCGAAGGCTTTCTGTTTCGTAGTCTGCTCCATTCACTTTTTTTACTTCGGCATAAAATTTGCTTAGATGCTTATCCAATTGTTCATACGAGAAAAGTTCAATTGGCTGAGTTATTCCTCTAGCAGAACACCAATTTGACCAGACGTTCAACCAGGTTTTAGTTGATCTTTCTGTATTTATCTTGACATTAGCGTTTTTAATTTCTTCAATGTCGTTTTCGCTTAAATTTGGGAACCGTGTTGTGTCAGGTTCATTTTCGTCTGCTAGGAGAACAAGTTGGTCATTTTCTTCAGCAAATATATCATTTAAAAGGTCAAAATTTTCAAAATCATTGTCAAATTCCTCCATTTTTAAAAATTTCGCGCCCCAAAAGAAAACAAATTCTTATTTTGTATCCTGAATGCTGATTGGCTACTTGTAAAGCTATGCTGAATTTCATTGGCTGTGAACAAGAGTGCGATTACAGCTCACCAAGAGTGCGATTAATGATTAATCGCACTCCTGTAAACCAATCAAATTGAAGTATTTGACAGAGATTACAGAAGATGGATAATTAATCCCATAACGGCACTGCCGTGGCGTTGTTGTTATATAACATTCAATCACGTGGTACAAATCGACCAATCAGATCATAAGTTTACAAAAAATTAATATTAATGCAGTTTATCTTTTATATTTATCAACTTTATCAAGTACAGAAATACTTATTCCATTGATTTTGTGTTTTTTAGAATGCATGCTATTTGCTTGTGTTTGTGCTTGTGAAACTAATGCGTTTAGGCAAACACACTAGGGCAACGGTAACTGGCCCATAACAAAGAGAAAAACCTGCAGTATTTTCCTTCTAAGTAAATCCTTGTAATTAATATGAAATTTCTACCGTGTAGCCTAACAACATATCAAAAGGTAAAACTAAATTCAAGTTTGTGAAAACTTGTTCATCAGCAACATCGATTTGACCCGTCACTCCTCGAATCCTATTTATTTAGTTTTTCCCGTTTCAAAAAGGTTTATTTACACCAATTCCTGATAAAAACGTGCAGCTCCAACTCCTTTTATAAATTACGCGACAATGTACCCACCCACCCATCTACCCACCCATCTACCCACCCATCCATCCATCCGTCTATCCATCCATCCATCCATCCGTCCGTCCGTCCGTCCGTCCGTCCGTTCAAAGCACTTCATCTTGTACCGCTCATTTTCTGACTAGGTTCTCCAAATTAACTCCAACAATTCTTTAGAAAGACAGCATACCAAGCTCGTAATTCCACGTTTACAACTCTCTTGTACTTTGCCTTCAGGAAATATACCCACTTGCCAGACTGGCCGACAGCATGTTCTACAAATATCTTCAGCATTTCGAACAAATCTACCCATTTTATTGGTATTCCGTCATTTATTATATGTGTATAGAGATTTATGCACAGCAGAATGATGAAATAAAAATCGTATTTCACTGTGTAAATTAATTTCATGCAATTTGATTAGACGTACGATGTTTTTCACGTGTGAAAAATTATCGTATGTCATTTTGGCGGCAATTTGTTTACATTTTCTTTCAAGATGGCGTGGAAATATAGGAGTCAGATTCAAAACATAATTCTCATATTCAAGATATTTTTACATTCAGCGCATTCTCAAATCTGTCGGAAAGAATATTGAACAAAATTACAAAGAAACTGAACGGTAATAAATATGTTTCGTGCATAAAGTTGCGATTTTTGTTGCTCGCAGTGTTTTTGTATATTAAAAGCGTGTCGTTGTCAAATTGATCTCTATACACGTTTAATAAACAAATTACTTCATGGTTGGCTGGTTTGCACGATTTTTATTATGCACTCGTTGCGAAGAATCGCAAACTCACTCGTTCGTTTTGCGATCCTTCACAACTCGTGCATAAAAATCGTATTTATTACCGTTCAGTTTCTTTGTAATTTTGTTCAATATTCTTTCCGACAGATTTGAGAATGGGCTGAATGTAAAAATATCTTGAATATGAGAATTATGTTTTGAATCTGACTCCTATATTTCCACGCCATCTTGAAAGAAAATGTAAACAAATCGCCGCCAAAATGATAAACGACAATTTCTCACGTGTGAAGAATATCTTACGTCCAATCAAAAGCCGTGTATGGCATTTTTTCATACGTGAAAAACATCGTACGTCTAATCAAATTGCATGAATTTAATTTACACAACGAAATAAGATTTTTATTTCATCATTCGGCTGTGCATAAATCTCTATACACACATTATAAATCGGATTGACTATATTAGCTATGTAATACGTGCATTCGTTTCTAATAAAAAATACGCCAAAGTTTTTTTTTTACTTTTACTGCACGGTATATTGATGACGAACCTTAAGCGTTTTTCAACATGCAGATCTTAGAGAAAATAAGATTTAATTTATACGAGGCCCTAACATGCATTATCATCAGAAGGTAGTATAGTTAGACTAAAGACTGATATGTGTTTACTCGATCTCTTGCAACGCTCAGCCCAGTATAATCCGAGATATTTTGATTGTTTGCAGAGGTTTCTACTGGCTCGTAGCCGTCAGTTATACTATTTGTGTCAAACACAAATTCTTGGAGATTAACATCGTCATATATTTGTTGGTCTTCAGAATTTTGAACAACTATTGTCTTTCTTCTTAAACAACGACGATGGGAACACAACAGAACGTGTGCAATGAAAATACCAACGACAATCCCAGCCACGGCGATGCTGAAAAAAATATACCATTTTGTTCGATTATGCGACTTCCTGAATATTGATATTTCTAAAAAAAATGAGAATGGTTTTTCAGTTTGTGAATTAACTTCATTGTTCTAGGTGGGATGGAAGTTTCCCTATATATAATTTTTTTGAATTGTTAGTATTTTTGTCTGTTTATATTAACAAAGGATTATGCATGGCTCGAATTTTCTAATATCCTGCACAATCATTAAATTCTATAACATTATATTATATTACTAGAAATACATGCATGCAGCAACCCCTCGCTATTTCAAACAAAGTACACAATTTCCTGAGCTAACCTGACCTAAACTTATATTATGAAATGACGCAAAACTCAAATTAGTTTTATTATATTTTACCGAATGTATTATAGCTAATGTTTCCATCATATTCAATACAAAAATAATCATATGCATGGTTTAAAATCGAAGTTTCAAACGATTAAGACATTACAAAATCTTCAGAGACAAAGAAACTGAAGCTCGGCTCAAATGTTATTTTATATACTGTAATTGCAGTTGACGGCTAAAAGTTATATACTTTAATATAGTGTGTATTTTTGATATCAAAATTCAAATTACACTTTCAAAAATACTTTTTCAAGTTAAAGCCAAGGTGTAATAGCCTTTCACAGCTTTATGCGTTTGTATAAATCTTCATATATCTTCTTTCTTCTCGTTTTATTTGGCACAAAGTTAATGGTTTGCTTTTGCAAAAAGGTTTACGAAACGATAATTATAAATTGCTGACGTTCTCATTGAAATAAAAACTTTCTGTCTTAACCAATGAGAACGTTTGTTGATTACCAGTTTTTACTCGCGCATGCGCATAACTTACAAAACCACCCAACGTCGACCGTCTATGACATAGAATTTTGACAACTTCAGCAATGTTCTCCCGGGTTCCGGGTGTAATTCCTATAATCTTCAAACCGAATTAGTACCCTCGCAGGCACTCCGCGCCTGCTCGGGGATTATTTGCATTTAAACAGTAAATTCGTAAATCTTTAAAATATATAAATTGATCTTCATTTAATGAATACTCCTAAATAGTGTTAGCTTAGCTAAAATCATGAATGCTTTTTTAGGCCCGACGAAAACAACTTTTGATTTAAGTTAAATAATCAATTTGTGGGAACCACAAATAATTTCAGAAAAAATATATGTGATCTTCCCACAAATTGGTCATTTAACTTAATATTTCACCAGGTCCATGCAAAATTTCAAAAATATTATATGACTTTTGATTTGTTCCTATACATAAAACAATTATTCGAGGAAAAGAAAATATGTAGCTAGATTTACCCCACAGACGAGTTTCGACTGTTTTTTCCTCCACATAAACCGAGCTTTTTCCAACGCATTTGTATATTCCAATATCAGTTCTATCAATATTTTTGAGACTAAGTGCGTTTCGTTCTTTTTTTATGTCTCCAATCTGTGTGCTATCTTTATTCCATGTTATATTGGCTGGAGGAAATCCACCTTTTTCTTCACATAGACATGTGATATTATCTCCAATTTACCATAATTAAATTGGAACAATTAACTGATAAGATGGGCTTTTCTAAAATATGAATTTATACTTAGCGCGAGATGACTTTTGCAAGAGATCGCATTTTTTCTTAAAAACCCATGTAAAAAAAGGCCATATTCTACATAATAGGGACTTGGCAAAAAAGCTCATATAATTCTATCCTTTTTATCACATATTTCGAAAAGCAAAAGACGGCAGAAAACCACTTTCTATCACCGTTAGTAATTGAAACACAAATTTTTGGCACCTCCGAGCATTTATAGTTGTTAATGAATTTAAATTTCCTTTCGTACCATAAAAACGAGCTTCCACTGTTATTTCATCTGTACGAGTGTAGCTTTGTCCAATGCATTTGTATGTTACTATCATTTCTGTCATATTATTGAGAGCAAGTGCATTTTGTTCTTTTTTATGACGCCAATCTGCGTGCTATCTTTATACCATGTTACATTGGCTGGAGGAAATCCACCTTTTTCTTCACATAGACATGTATATTATCTCAACATTTACCATAATTAAACTGGAACAATTGACTGATAGGATTAGCTTTCTGAAATGAAATTTACATTTAGCACAAGATGAGTTTTGTACGAGAAAACGTATTTTTGCCTAAAAGTCCATGTAAAAACTCTGTATTGTACATGCTGGGGACTTGGTAAGAATGTCAGATGTTTCTATCATTTTTATTATGTATTTCACGACGCATAATTTTTCAAGACAAAAATGACAATTGACAAGTACATGATAATGAATTTAAAATAAATTTAACTAAGTGGGCTTGGCGCTTTAGAGAAATGGGAATACCACAACTAACTATAATTACAAAACCTGTTATTCATAGCGCATTAAAATAAAGAATAGGTAAAACGTAGCGTTAGCGACCATTTTCAAAAGAAACAGAAGAAAGATTAAAATAAAAACTTTAAGGTACAGCGTGACTAAAACGGAATTCGCCACTTAAGCATGCTCTTATGCATAAATATTGAGTCCAACGATTGATTCATTAAATAGAAAAAGAGAGAAGTTATTAGACTGCTCTCGATATATCTTCTTATGCCATGCATAGTCATTGAAATTTATTACCAAATAATCGTTTGTTAAATACAAAGCCGGTAGAAAACCACTTTGCGACACCGCTATATATTATTGAAAACAGTTACACAATTTATTGGCGCCTACAAATATTTATAATTCATAATAAATCAAAATTTGCTTCGTTTTGCCATCAATTCGGTCAACTTTAGTTTTCCATCCCCAATTTTTATTTAAAAATATGTGATCATTTCTTCCCGCTTTGAATTGAAGAAAGGAATCATTGGGAATTTAAATACTGCTCTTTAGTTTAAATAATTAAATTTAGTATAACTTTAATTTGTAAAAATCTGTTGAGTTTCACTGAGACACCATGTATCAAGTCGGTATAAGTATAGTTCGCTTCCATGGTATAGATTTTGAATTTCAAATCAAATTATAGGTTATTAGCAGCAATAAGAAAAAGAAAATTCATGTCTATACTGCCATATAATTTTCAACTCGTGTCTGCATCAAATGGGTTTGAATACTGTATATAGCGATAAGAACTAAGAGCACGTACCGTAAAAACGCACTTCCACTGTTATTTCATCTGCAAGATTGTGGCTTTGTCCAACGCATTGTATTTCCACTATCATTTTTATCAATATTATTGAGAGTAAGTGAATTTTGGTCTTTTTTTATGGCGCCAATCTGAGCGCTATCTTGATGCCATGTTACATTGGCTGGAGGAAATCCACCTTTTTCTTCACATAGACATGTGATATTATCTCCAACATTTACCATAATTAAACTGGAGCAATTGACTGATAGGATTGGCTTTTCTGAAATATGAAATTTATTTTTAGCAGAAGATGAGTTTTACACGAGAAAACGTATTTTTCCCTAAAAATCCATGTAAAAACTCTATATATTGTAAATGCTAATATCCTGCACAATCATTAAATTCTATAACATTATATTATTTTACTAGAAATACATGCATGCAGCAACCCCTTGCTATTTCAAACCAAGTACACAATTTCCTGAGCTAACCTGACCTAAACTTATATTATGAAATGACGCAAAACTCAAATTAGTTTTATTATATTTTACCGAATGTATTATAGCTAATGTTTCCATCATATTCAATACAAAAATAATCATATGCATGGTTTAAAATCGAAGTTTCAAACGATTAAGACATTCCAAGTCTTCAGAGACAAAGAAACTGAAGCTCGGCTCAAATGTTATTTTATATACTGTAATTGCAGTTGACGGCTAAAAGTTATATACTTTAATATAGTGTGTATTTTTGATATCAAAATTCAAATTACACTTTCAAAAATACTTTTTGAAGTTAAAGCCAAGGTGTAATAGCCTTTCACAGCTTTATGCGTTGTAAAAATTCATATATCTTCTTTCTTCTCGTTTTTTTGGCACAAAGTTAATGGTTTGCTTTTGCAAAAAGGTTTACGAAACGATAATTATAAATTGCTGACGTTCTCATTGAAATAAAAACTTTCTGTCTTAACCAATGAGAACGTTTGTTGATTACCAGTTTTTACTCGCGCATGCGCATAACTTACAAAACCACCCAACGTCGACCGTCTATGACATAGAATTTTGACAACTTCAGCAATGTTCTCCCGGGTTCCGGGTGTAATTCCTATAATCTTCAAACGGAATTAGTACCCTCGCAGGCACTCCGCGCCTGCTCGGGGATTATTTGCATTTAAACAGTAAATTCGTAAATCTTTAAAATATATAAATTGATCTTCATTTAATGAATACTCCTAAATAGTGTTAGCTTAGCTAAAATCATGAATGCTTTTTTGGGCCTGACGAAAACAACTTTTGATTTAAGTTAAATAATCAATTTGTGGGAACCACAAATAATTTCAGAAAAAATATATGTGATCTTCCACAAATTGGTCATTTAACTTAATATTTCACCAGGTCCATGCAAAATTTCAAAAATATTATATGACTTTTGATTTGTTCCTATACATAAAACAATTATTCGAGAAAAAGAAATATGTAGCTAGATTTACCCCACAGACGAGTTTCGACTGTTTTTTCCTCCACATAAGCCGAGCTTTTCCAACGCATTTGTATATTCCAATATCAGTTCTATCAATATTTTTGAGACTAAGTGCGTTTCGTTCTTTTTTTATGTCTCCAATCTGTGTGCTATCTTTTTCCATGTTATATTGGCTGGAGAAATCCACCTTTTCTTCACATAGACATGTGATATTATCTCCAACATTTACCATAATTAAATTGGAACAATTAACTGATAAGATGGGCTTTTCTAAAATATGAATTTATATTTAGCGCGAGATGACTTTTGCAAGAGAAATCGCATTTTTTTTAAAACCCATGTAAAAAAAGGCCATATTCTACATAATAGGGACTTGGCAAAAAAGCTCATATAATTCTATCCTTTTTATCACATATTTCGAAAAGCAAAAGACGGCAGAAAACCACTTTCTATCACCGTTAGTAATTGAAAACACAAATTTTTGGCACCTCCGAGCATTTATAGTTGTTAATGAATTTAAATTTCCTTTCGTACCATAAAAACGAGCTTCCACTGTTATTTCATCTGTACGAGTGTGGCTTTGTCCAATGCATTTGTATGTTCCACTATCATTTCTGTCAATATTAGAGAGCAAGTGCATTTTGTTCTTTTTTTATGACGCCAATCTGCGTGCTATCTTTATACCATGTTACATTGGCTGGAGAAATCCACTTTTTCTTCACATAGACATGTAATATTATCTCCAACATTTACCATAATTAAACTGGAACAATTGACTGATAGGATTAGCTTTTCTGAAATATGAAATTTACATTTAGCACAAGATGAGTTTTGTACGAGAAACGTATTTTTGCCTAAAAGTCCATGTAAAAACTCTGTATTGTACATGCTGGGGACTTGGTAAGAATGTCAGATGTTTCTATCATTTTTATTATGTATTTCACGACGCATAATTTTTCAAGACAAAAATGACAATTGACAAGTACATGATAATGAATTTAAAATAAATTTAACTAAGTGGGCTTGGCGCTTTAGAGAAATGGGAATACCACACTAACTATAATTACAAAACCTGTTATTCATAGCGCATTAAATAAAGAATAGGTAAAACGTAACGTTAGCGACCATTTTCAAAAGAAACAGAAGAAAGATTAAAATAAAAACTTTAAGGTACAGCGTGACTAAAACGGAATTCGCCACTTAAGCATGCTCTTATGCATAAATATTGAGTCCAACGATTGATTCATTAAATAGAAAAAGAGAGAAGTTATTAGACTGCTCTCGATGTATCTTCTTATGCCATGCATAGTCATTGAAATTTATTACAAAATAATCGTTTGTTAAATACAAAGCCGGTAGAAAACCGCTTCCCGACACCGCTATATAGTAATTGAAACAGTTACACAATTTATTGGCGCCTACAAATATTTATAATTCATAATAAATCAAAATTTGCTTCGTTTTGCCATCAATTCGGCAACTTTTGTTTTCCATCCCCAATTTTTATTTAAAAATATGTGATCATTTCTTCCCGCTTTGAATTGAAGAAAGGAATCATTGGGAATTTAAATACTGCTCTTTAGTTTAAATAATTAAATTTAGTATAACTTTAATTTGTAAAAATCTGTTGAGTTTCACTGAGACACCATATATCAAGTCGATGTAAGTATAGTTCGCTTCCATGGTATAGATTTTGAATTTCAAATCAAATTATAGGTTATTAGCAGCAATAAGAAAAACAAAATTCATGTCTATACTGCCATATAATTTTCAACTCGTGTCTGCATCAAATGGGTTCGAATACTGTATATAGCGATAAGAACTAAGAGCACGTACCGTAAAACGCACTTCCACTGTTATTTCATCTGCAAGATTGTGGCTTTGTCCAACGCATTTGTATTTTCCACTATCATTTTTATCAATATTATTGAGAGTAAGTGAATTTTGGTCTTTTTTTATGGCGCCAATCTGAGCGCTATCTTGATACCATGTTACATTGGCTGGAGGAAATCCACCTTTTTCTTCACATAGACATGTGATATTATCTCCAACATTTACCATAATTAAACTGGAGCAATTGACTGATAGGATTGGCTTTTCTGAAATATGAAATTTATTTTTAGCAGAAGATGAGTTTTACACGAGAAAACGTATTTTTCCCTAAAAATCCATGTAAAAACTCTATATATTGTAAATGCTAATATCCTGCACAATCATTAAATTCTATAACATTATATTATTTTACTAGAAATACATGCATGCAGCAACCCCTTGCTATTTCAAACCAAGTACACAATTTCCTGAGCTAACCTGACCTAAACTTATATTATGAAATGACGCAAAACTCAAATTAGTTTTATTATATTTTACCGAATGTATTATAGCTAATGTTTCCATCATATTCAATACAAAAATAATCATATGCATGGTTTAAAATCGAAGTTTCAAACGATTAAGACATTACAAAATCTTCAGAGACAAAGAAACTGAAGCTCGGCTCAAATGTTATTTTATATACTGTAATTGCAGTTGACGGCTAAAAGTTATATACTTTAATATAGTGTGTATTTTTGATATCAAAATTCAAATTACACTTTCAAAAATACTTTTTGAAGTTAAAGCCAAGGTGTAATAGCCTTTCACAGCTTTATGCGTTTGTATAAATCTTCATATATCTTCTTTCTTCTCGTTTTATTTGGCACAAAGTTAATGGTTTGCTTTTGCAAAAAGGTTTACGAAACGATAATTATAAATTGCTGACGTTCTCATTGAAATAAAAACTTTCTGTCTTAACCAATGAGAACGTTTGTTGATTACCAGTTTTTACTCGCGCATGCGCATAACTTACAAAACCACCCAACGTCGACCGTCTATGACATAGAATTTTGACAACTTCAGCAATGTTCTCCCGGGTTCCGGGTGTAATTCCTATAATCTTCAAACGGAATTAGTACCCTCGCAGGCACTCCGCGCCTGCTCGGGGATTATTTGCATTTAAACAGTAAATTCGTAAAAATTTAAAATATATAAATTGATCTTCATTTAATGAATACTCCTAAATAGTGTTAGCTTAGCTAAAATCATGAATGCTTTTTTGGGCCTGACGAAAACAACTTTTGATTTAAGTTAAATAATCAATTTGTGGGAACCACAAATAATTTCAGAAAAAATATATGTGATCTTCCCACAAATTGGTCATTTAACTTAATATTTCACCAGGTCCATGCAAAATTTCAAAAATATTATATGACTTTTGATTTGTTCCTATACATAAAACAATTATTCGAGAAAAAGAAAATATGTAGCTAGATTTACCCCACAGACGAGTTTCGACTGTTTTTTCCTCCACATAAGCCGAGCTTTTTCCAACGCATTTGTATATTCCAATATCAGTTCTATCAATATTTTTGAGACTAAGTGCGTTTCGTTCTTTTTTTATGTCTCCAATCTGTGTGCTATCTTTATTCCATGTTATATTGGCTGGAGGAAATCCACCTTTTTCTTCACATAGACATGTGATATTATCTCCAACATTTACCATAATTAAATTGGAACAATTAACTGATAAGATGGGCTTTTCTAAAATATGAATTTATATTTAGCGCGAGATGACTTTTGCAAGAGAAATCGCATTTTTTCTTAAAAACCCATGTAAAAAAAGGCCATATTCTACATAATAGGGACTTGGCAAAAAAGCTCATATAATTCTATCCTTTTTATCACATATTTCGAAAAGCAAAAGACGGCAGAAAACCACTTTCTATCACCGTTAGTAATTGAAAACACAAATTTTTGGCACCTCCGAGCATTTATAGTTGTTAATGAATTTAAATTTCCTTTCGTACCATAAAAACGAGCTTCCACTGTTATTTCATCTGTACGAGTGTGGCTTTGTCCAATGCATTTGTATGTTCCACTATCATTTCTGTCAATATTATTGAGAGCAAGTGCATTTTGTTCTTTTTTTATGACGCCAATCTGCGTGCTATCTTTATACCATGTTACATTGGCTGGAGGAAATCCACCTTTTTCTTCACATAGACATGTAATATTATCTCCAACATTTACCATAATTAAACTGGAACAATTGACTGATAGGATTAGCTTTTCTGAAATATGAAATTTACATTTAGCACAAGATGAGTTTTGTACGAGAAAACGTATTTTTGCCTAAAAGTCCATGTAAAAACTCTGTATTGTACATGCTGGGGACTTGGTAAGAATGTCAGATGTTTCTATCATTTTTATTATGTATTTCACGACGCATAATTTTTCAAGACAAAAATGACAATTGACAAGTACATGATAATGAATTTAAAATAAATTTAACTAAGTGGGCTTGGCGCTTTAGAGAAATGGGAATACCACAACTAACTATAATTACAAAACCTGTTATTCATAGCGCATTAAAATAAAGAATAGGTAAAACGTAACGTTAGCGACCATTTTCAAAAGAAACAGAAGAAAGATTAAAATAAAAACTTTAAGGTACAGCGTGACTAAAACGGAATTCGCCACTTAAGCATGCTCTTATGCATAAATATTGAGTCCAACGATTGATTCATTAAATAGAAAAAGAGAGAAGTTATTAGACTGCTCTCGATGTATCTTCTTATGCCATGCATAGTCATTGAAATTTATTACAAAATAATCGTTTGTTAAATACAAAGCCGGTAGAAAACCGCTTTCCGACACCGCTATATAGTAATTGAAAACAGTTACACAATTTATTGGCGCCTACAAATATTTATAATTCATAATAAATCAAAATTTGCTTCGTTTTGCCATCAATTCGGCAACTTTTGTTTTCCATCCCCAATTTTTATTTAAAAATATGTGATCATTTCTTCCCGCTTTGAATTGAAGAAAGGAATCATTGGGAATTTAAATACTGCTCTTTAGTTTAAATAATTAAATTTAGTATAACTTTAATTTGTAAAAATCTGTTGAGTTTCACTGAGACACCATATATCAAATCGATGTAAGTATAGTTCGCTTCCATGGTATAGATTTTGAATTTCAAATCAAATTATAGGTTATTAGCAGCAATAAGAAAAACAAAATTCATGTCTATACTGCCATATAATTTTCAACTCGTGTCTGCATCAAATGGGTTCGAATACTGTATATAGCGATAAGAACTAAGAGCACGTACCGTAAAAA